AAAATATTATTACATATCAAATTTAATATTAATATACATTACTATCATTATTCACTCAATCAATCTTATTTAATACAAATATTTATTTTCTACACAATTCTTTCAATTAAATATATTTATTATTATTAATAGATCAATTTATTTAAATATTCACCATAAAAGTTATTATAATTCTTTATTTATTATAAAACAATGTTCAATAGTAATAACTTATTTTATTATAATTTTTTCTTTTGTATTTATAATTATTAATTCTTAATAATTAATATAAATAATATATTTTATTTTCATTAACATTAAATAAATTATTTATATTATTAATATATACATTAACTAATTAAATAAATCAAGAAAAAAAGAAAAAAATAAAGCCTTTATTAATTTTTAAAAATCACTAATCTTTAAATTATTTATCATTATTTAATATTATAGTTTTACAAAAAAAAATAAAATAAAATAAAATAAATAATATATTATTTTTTTAGTGGAAAATAAAATAAAAATGTTAATTAATATTTAAAAATTGTTTTCCTATATTTTATACTATTAAAAATAATGATATTATTCTTATATTATTTGTAATTATTAACAAATCTTTTTTTCTTTTTTTTTATAATTTTTAAATCTATTTATTCAATCTAATTATACTTATAAAAAGTCATAAAATGACAAATTCATCATTTATTAAATTATTCACCTTATTATTAACCACTATTATTATTAATTATAATTTTAATCAATATTTTTTAATAATTACTAGTTTATCATTTATTACCTTAAATTCATCATTAAGTGGAATAAATTGATAAGATGGTTTTGATAATAATCATAATGAAATTCAACATGATGAATCTACTCCCTGTGGTCATAATTCACTTAATTCCCACGGTTACTATTATATAAATAAAGAAAATAATAATCAATGTAATTATAAAAATCATGATGGAATTCAACACGATGAATCTACTCACTGTGGTCATACTTCACTTAATTCACACGGTGACTATTATATAAATAAAGAAAATAATAATCAATGTAATTATAAAAATCATGATGGAATTCAACATGATGGAACTACTCCTTGTAGTCATTCTTCACCTAATTATATTGGTGGTTATTGTATAGATGATTAAAATAAATATGGTTGTGTTACTCTATTTGGTAATTAAAAACTTAATTGTGTTTCTAATCATTTTTAGATTGTGAAAATTATATTCAAAGTGATAATAAAAATAAAAATCATGTATCTACTTTTATTTTTTTTTTTTTTAACTAAAACAACTAATTTTGTCAGTAGTTATTATTTAAATGATTTAAATGATGTTAATCATAATAGTGGATGGGAATATGGTTGATTCAAACTTTTTTGATAATAAAACACATAATTTTGTTAATTATTATTGTATTATATTTAATTGGAAATAATTATTAATAAATAATAATATAATTTAAAAAAGTAGAAAATGATTGATTGATAAATTATTATTATTATTATTATTATTATTATTATTATTTATAATGAAATAATAATATGATTTATTAATCAAATTAATTAATTATCTAAATAAAAATGAAAACCTATTTTATTTTTCTTTTTATATGTGATAAGTTTTTATTATTATTATTATTATAGTAATATTAAGAAATGATTAAATTTTTTTTCTTTTTTAATTTTTTTTTAAATATAAAAATAAATACTTGATGATGACAATGATTATGATTATGATTATGATGATGATGATTATTATTATTATTAAAATTATAAAATACAATTTAAAACTAATATAATTTTATTAAAAATAAAAATAAATTAATAAATAAAATATTAATATTGATATAAAATATTAGTAATATATTAATGAATTTAATTATTGATGTCTTAAATTATATTATCATTTTTTTCTTTTTTATATATCTTTCTAAATATCTTATTCTATCTTTATTTCTTGATTTTTATTTATCTTATTTTTTTTTTTTTTCATGCTTAATGGTCATTCTCAATTAAATTTTCCTATACAAAATACAAAAATAACGCCAATCCCGCTATTAATATTGTTATTTTTTTCCCACTCTTTTATTACACAATTTTAAAAAATTTTTTATGTAAAAAATATTTATTTTATTTTAATCTTAAAAATAATATAAATCTTAATATTATTTTTAATAATAATAATAATAATAATAATAATAATAAATGATTAAATATTAAAATAAAATATTCTTTTTTTTTTTATCATTTAAAAAAAAAGTAAATAATCATGATAGATAAAACTTATTTAAATCATTTTCCTGATTCAAATGGTTTTTTTGGTAAATATGGTGGAAAATATTTACCAGAAACAATTAATAAAGCAATGATGGAAATTGAACAAGCATATAATAAAATAAGTAAAAATGAAAATTTTATTAATGAATTAAAAAAAATAAGAAAAGAATTTCAAGGAAGACCAACACCAATATATTATGCAAAAAATTTAACAGAAAAATATGGTGGAGCAGAAATATATTTAAAAAGAGAAGATTTAAATCACACTGGTGCACATAAATTAAATCATTGTATGGGAGAAGCATTATTAGCAAAATATATGGGTAAACAAAAATTAATAGCTGAAACTGGAGCAGGACAACATGGTGTAGCATTAGCAACAGCAGCAGCATATTTTGGTTTAAAATGTGAAATACATATGGGTGAAGTAGATGTAAAAAAAGAATATCAAAATGTAGTTAGAATGAAAATATTAGGTGCTAAAGTTATATGTGTAGAATTTGGTGCTAAAACATTAAAAGAAGCAGTAGATTCAGCATTTGAATCATATATGAAAGATTTAGATAATTCATTTTATGCAATAGGTTCAGTAGTAGGCCCACATCCATTTCCAAAAATGGTACGTGATTTTCAATCAATAATAGGCATAGAATCAAGAGAACAATTTATGGAAATGAATGGTGTATTACCAGATATAGTTATAGCATGTGTAGGTGGTGGTAGTAATGCAATGGGTATATTTAGTGGTTTTATATCAGATAAACAAGTGGAATTAGTTTGTGTGGAACCATTAGGTAAAGGAAATAAAATAGGTGAACATGCAGCAAGTATAAGTTATGGTAGCGAAGGAATAATGCATGGATTTAATTCAATAATGTTAAAAGATGAAAAAGGAAATCCAGCACCAGTATATAGTATAGCAAGTGGTTTAGATTATCCAAGTGTAGGACCAGAAATTGCATATTTAAATAGTATAGGTCGTACAAAAACAGTATGTATAACAGATAAAGAAGCAATTAATGGATTTTTTGAATTAAGTAGAATGGAAGGTATAATACCAGCAATAGAATCAAGTCATGCAATAGCTTATGTATTAAAAATAGCAAAAGATATCAAGGGTAAAAAAATATTAATAAATTTAAGTGGTAGGGGAGATAAAGATTTAGATTTTGTTGTAGAAAATTATGGTTATGGTGATAATTAGAAAAAGAAATAAGGAAAAAAAAAA